TGTGTGCCTTGGCAGTCTACTGTGGGCAATCCCCACAGGAGCACTTTGGGGTGAAGTGTCTCAGGGACACAACGACATGCTGACTGCAGTGGGGTTTGAACCTGTGACCCCCTGATACGAACACCAACGCACTAATCCACTACGCCACACGCCTCCCTAACATTGGTGATATTGGGCTATATACATAAAGGCTATATACATAAGATTGATTGATTGATTGATCGTGAATCATATCACAATTTCATTATCAGTCAAAAATAATGAGACTTTTCCAAATCATCCAGCCTTAGTGTACGCCAATTATTGTATTGTTCTATTTATTTCGCTAGTGCAGCACCAGATTGACCCTCTGTGGATAAATAAAGCTGTATCTTATCTTACTGATGTTTAAACCCCAACAGTCTGAACATCAGTATGATATTTCTGTCTCACCGTTGAAGCGCACCGCCCGGACGGCCCCCTGCTGGCAGTCGATGCTCCTCAGCAGGTGTTGAGGGAGCTGAGGAACCTGAGGTCTGGGCTCCGGGAACGACATCACGTTACCTGGGGGGACAGATTATAAATATAATCAGAATCAGAATATGGTTTTATCTTAAGGTTATTTATTTACAAAGAACATGTCCTTTTGCGTGATGAACATATTGAGAGAGAACACACATACAGGCAAAATACTGCACGAGCCAAGAACAGAAATATAGAGCAGAAAACAAATGCATAGAAAAAATACTGCACCTGCAAGTCATACATAAAGAAGAGAAAGACATACAATAACACATGTGTACAACATTGCAACTGTGTGTTAGCATGAGAAACATTTATAATAAACAGTAGTAGTAAACATATTGATGAGGGGGTGTACAGAAGTTTACGACATAATAATAGCTATAAAACCTCCTTTTGCACTATATCAAGTGTACAACTTGTTCCACAAAGCTCTGAACACAGACCGATTGCTAACGTTACTCAAACTACAGTATAATCCAGGTAAGCATTTCTTCTTGCAAAATAAAAACAAATGCAAAGAAAAGTAATGGATTGGACCAAAATAAGAGCGATTTTGGATCACATGTTGGTCTAACAGTGCAATATTTACAGTTGACATTAGCATGTTTTACTGAATCATTTTCAACCCACAGCAGTCATTCAGGTGACACTCACTTATTTATCCGACTTGAAGCGAGTTTGCTTCAGGGTAATGACATGTTGAATTCCTGGTGCTTCAAATCATGAATTAATAAGAAGTTTATTCCGGATTTTTAACCATTAACAGCTTCTTCCATTCATTTATCGACCATGTTTGCGAGTAAGCGCAATGCACGCTGGGAACACAGACTCCTTTCAAAATAAAAGCACTTCCTCTGCTTCTTCTTCTTTGGTGTTTTACGGCTGTTTGCTTCCACAGTGTTGCATCACTGCCTCCCTCTGGATTTTACTGTTTCTCACACTTTTATAAAGTCTTTCCACCAGACCAGATATACGGTGGCCGGCAGGTGCAAACGCGGAACAACGGCCAAAAACGCATCCATAAGCAGGAAACAGCTGCAAATAATGAAATGAAAAACAAACAAACCCTGAAAAGAAATACAACAAAAAAAACGCTGCATTTACAGAAATGATGCAGACTAAATACAACACACAAACCCCGAAAACAAACGCTGCAAATACAAAAACGATATGCAAAGTCAAAAACACATACAAACCCAAAAACACACAATACCAGACATAGAGAGAACGAACGAGAGTGAGGCAAATTGAAGCCGGAGGAAACAAAGTTGATGGAAGTGGACAAAGTCGACATATAAGAAGGTAAGTTTTGTTTTTATACAAAGAGCGTCATATTTACCCAGCTAGCGTTAGCTTGTTTGGTAAAAGAGCTTGCAAGTGAAGAGACAGCACTGTGCACCTACATGTAACTCTTGACATCATATAGATATATTATAGTTGCAGAGAGGAGTTGGTTTATTGTGCCCCAATGTAAATCCTTATGTGAGAGTTAAAGGACGGTCAATAATATAATGTACCTTGGTCAGTTTGGATTTATCGTGGCATTTATTCTTAATTAAAGTGAATTTATTTTATTTCAGTCAGTAATTTGTGTGTGAGCACTCCACAAATGGACAACAGTTAGCCAGGGTAAAATAAATCATTGTCAACATATTATTTTGTGCCACAAGAAGCTAAATGTTTTAACAGTACAGTAGTTTGTATATATTTGTTGTTTACCTGTATCAGACCTCTCAGCCAGCTACAACCAGCGTCTGATCGGATAAGACTAATTCAAAATGTAATTATACCATGTAGGTTTGAATTTGTGATCATGAAATCAATAAATACCTTTGTGTGCTAATGACACTGTCATTAGATCAACTGCACTTATTTCTTGGGTAAAAATAGGAACCAACCCCATTCCAGGAAGAGGTCCAGTCTGCCCCGGGTCAGAACAACTACTATAGGTAAACGAGGTTGACAGTTGCATCGTGACACAGTTGTTTGCTGTGTATCTTTATTTGTACATGTGTTTGTTTGTATAGCCTCCAATCACAGTGGGTAACATTGCCAGGAAGCAGAACAATTATACTTTTAAACATTTCCAAATGACACCCACAACATCTGACATCTTAGTGAAGACGATACAAAAAACACCCACAAATATTTTTCAAAGATCAGATATTGTTTCTTGCATCCATTTAAAAATGTTTACAAGGATTTTGCAGGAGTATGACTAAAGTGCTGTTGTCAGTTTAGAACCCAATGTATTAAAAACAAAACAGGAAGAGGATCGACATCCTTTTGTAAATATGACTGTCATGCATATATTATGTATTTGAAAGTAATTATTCAACTGTCTTCTCAGTGCAGCAACTACACAAATGTGTATGCACCTATCATCATTGATAGCCATTCTGAGCCAGAAGAAAAAATGGAGCAAACTGCAGAGGAAAGGTATTAATTGTTCTTGCAGCAGGTTCAATATGAATAGAGCCAATGTGTGGGATGGAGCAATCTGCGGCTTCAAATGTGTCTCATTCGGCCCCTCTCATGTCAGTTAAGTTCACTGATGATGAGGGACACACTGAGGATGGAGTGGACACTGGTGGTCCCAAGCGTGAGTTCCTGACGCTCCTTATGGAATGCCTGAGAATGCGAAGAAAACATCACGTCAGTAACTGTTTGTTCCCCATGGCGGTGTGACTTTCCCAACCGCTCACTGTTTCAAAATCTGATTCTAAATGTATAATTATCTATTGGGTAATCCCCTGCGCACCCGCGCAGCACTGAAAAAACATGTAGTCCACGCCCACCTGCGAGGTGGGCCCCACCTTCGGACTCACTTCCGGTATAAATAGGAAGGACGCCCGACAATCTGCTCCCTCTTTTCTTCAGCACCCCGGTACTGAAGCACTGTAGAGACACTA